CTTAAAAAAACAGCAAAGTTTGGCATCTAACAGACGATAATCGAGGATTCACTCTATATTACAGGTCAGTAACCTCTCATTTTTTCTGTATGCTCGTCTTCAGACAAGAACTCCCGTCGAGTCTTGGAACTAGATAACATTTCGCAGTTTACTTCAAACATAGAACACACCACCTTTTCAAGCTAATTATAAAAGCCAGCAAACCAACATATTACAAGAAATAAATCATAATCATGTGAAAGGTACAGCTACAGGGAGCTTTCAACAGGAACTGAACAAACATCCCAAGGTTTCTACATTAGTATGGCGTTACAGTATTTTGGTTGCCGATATTCTTGCAAAGATGGCGAGTAGCAGAAATGAGCACTATTATAAACTGTGATTCAAAAAATTTATTGAATTTTATGACGTTTTTCAGTCGTAACCACCAAGCGGACCGACATGAAAGCTTAGAAGGAATGAAACTAAAACAGGTCATAGGTGTTTTAAATTATCGCAACCCAATCAAGGTAGTTACTTCATCATTGGAATTTACGAGATCTCACACTCAACATTAGGTACATAAACACCGGCCTCTCTATGATACAAGGGGCCACACAGCAAAGAACAGACAAAAAATTTTATACATCCACATAGATTTGCTGTTTCATGCATATATTCAGGGTATTGCCCAATTTTTAAACAAACTCCTTGTAACTTCATGAAAGGTAATGTCCGCATAAAACGACATTAGATACCGGGCGTCTGCACATACTCATAATATTGTGGTTATTTACTTATACAATCTAAATTCGCTTGATATGTGTTCCAGAAATGTTTTTTTGTTACAAGGGAATGGGATAGTCCGTGATAAAACAATGCATATACCTGTTGTAACATGAATACCTCGCGACCACTCACTTCTATGTGGAGATAGGCCTGACAAGCTTATTTTGTAAACCTGTCACCGTATGTATATTTAATATTAAATGACTGTAACTGTTGTTTAGTAAATGACCCTGTACATGCTTTCCGTTGTAATACTGACAGCCTGACACACTCTTGCTGGTTAACAATTACACTACTACTTACACATTCCTCGTTCTGTCTTCGTGATTGAGTTAACTGAAGTTTAAATCAAATACTATCTACATTTATAGACTAGTTGGAATATATCACATCTGTGGAGATGGACCTGACAAGCTTATTTTGTAAACAGTTTTCAATGTTATTTGTATTTACTTTGTCAACCTTCCACTGTATTTATATTTAACATTAAATGACTGTAACTGTTGTTCTAGTAAATGACCTTGAACACACTTTCCGTTGTACTGCTACAATGCGTGACATACCGCTGCTGGCTAACAAATACAATGCTTCTCGCACACTCCTCGTTCTATTTCCATTTGTGATCGAGCTATCCGAAGTCTAAATCAAATTCTATCTTCATTTATAGACTGTAACCGAAATATATCAACGAAATATATCCAACGTGGATTATATCATTAGAGAGTTCACCAACCTGTTAAGAATCAACAAACATTTATAATTGTGGATTTACTTTACTGGACCTAATCAATTTAAGTAACGTCCCCAATTTTTATTGTATTTGTGACAATTAATTATATATATTAATATTACTATTGACTTTTAATAACTTTGTTTATATTTTTTGCGTTCATATCTGTTTGGTCCACCACACATCCTACGTTGGATTATATCACTGGAGAATTCGTCAAACTGATTGGAATTGCCAAGTATTTATTATTGTGAATTTACAATACCAAACCCAATCACAACACATATCAACTTGGTGAACTTAAGTAAAGTCCCAACTTTCTATTGTATTTGTAATAATTAACTTATATATTAGCATTACTAATGGTCTTTATTAACTTTGTTGGTATTTTTGCGTTTATATATCGTCTGTTCCACCACAATCGTTCAGTGAACAAATGTATTGAAATAAAACAGCTAACATGTATCCTTTATCTAAAATGAAGATCATATTTATACGTAATAACTGTCTGAGCATTACTAATTTTTCAAGTGAAAAAATATTTTCAAAATCATAACATGAACATGTCTTTAGCAGCAATGATGAACAAGGGTTGTTAATTTACCAATAGAAAAATACTAAGGGCTTGGAAGACATGGAGACACTGATCTTTGACGTGAGAGTAAAAAACGTGAGTAGATGATTCTTCCAATCATAAAGCTGATCGATGTAAAACACCCTGTCCAACTCGTTTATACCAATCCAAAAACTCAACAGTCAATTAATTGATGATAAAAAAACTGCTGCGTGATTTCGAAGCATTACAACACTACCAGCATTCACATAGCAGTTGAAAACACTAAGTCCAAAGTAAGGGCATTGAAGATGCCATAAGTATTTGGAGTTTGACAACGCTTTAACCAGTAACACCTAACATGAATCGTACCCACCAAGTGAAATCAAAAGACAGAATCGAGGAGGTTCGAATATATATTTGATAGGCTACCAAGGATCGTCTGATCTAATCTGGCAAGCGATTGCAGGGATTGTCGAGCACGGCGTTGCCGCTCGTGAACTGGTGCGGATGCATGACCGAGCGCCTAAAGCTAGGTGAGTCCATCATAACTAATGTGGTCAGCATCCAATGTCGAAAACTTACAGAGCTATTTAGTTACCACTACAGCACAATTACTTATATGCGTATATAGCATTTCAGGTTATCATCAAACACCCGTAGATGATCTATGTCGAAATGAAAAGAGACATACTCGCGTTAGACGTGAGTGGTGTGATAAAGAAGCTAACGTCGAAGTCACACTTTGTGCTTATCGCTTTACGTGGACAACCTCATTGACGTATCAAGGTACCATAGATGCTTTGAAGACTGTACAAAACAGAGGACGTTACTACATAAATATGTTAGTTAGAGTAGATACAGGTAAAAGTAAGACCACGGTCGCATGGGCCCATGGCATACAATTAACTGATGAGCGTTGGCTGTCCCTGACATTGACCAGGAATGATTTGCTCAATATTCAATGACCCAACTGCGGACGATTTAGCTAGGGCTTAGTGACATTTCGCTGACCCTACGCACCTGTGTCCGAATTCTGTATTATTTAAATATGGATCAAAAGGCCGAAACAGAGGTGCTTATACTGTCAAGATACTGTGAGAGCAGTCTATTCAACACGACAGAGAAAATGTTCGCAGTAGTCAGACGGGCGCCAGGGATGAAGACAGATTTTTAGGTGTAAAAAAATCAAATTACTTCCACAAGTCCATATGCGTTTGTTGACGAACTGCTTGGAAAAATGGGCTACATGTTTCTGACATCAAGTTCTACACCGCGTGATGCGTAAGAAAATGTTATAATAACAATCATAGTGAGTTTGGGAACTTTATTAAACGTTTGTGTGATAATACTGGTATTGAAATTATCGTTTTTCGTGCTTGTCTTCAAAATGTTGGCTAAGGTATTTAGAGTCAAGAATGCTTTGAAAAGTAGGTCTGCCTAAAACATAAAGTTTCCCGTCACAATGTACTAGCATGTGTAAATGATACAATCCAAATAGCATAGCTTGAGAGCTGTTACCAACAAATGCTCCTTATCCAGAATGTATCTGATATCGAATGATTACATGAAACCCAATTACTAACATAGTGATGTTGGTGGTGACTGATAAGTTTTCTTGTACATTACGAATTCATCATGGCAAAAAATCAGTTTTATTAATTTAAATCTTGGTTTCCCAAAACAATTTAACCGGTAATGCAAAACACATACTGAGCTCCAAATTTAACTTGGACTTCATACAATATACTAAAATTCATACACACTACGACGAACTAAAGAGACAAATGACAGTTTTCGAATGAACTTTGGGTAACATTTTGAAGACCATAAGGAATAAACTCATCTCTAGAAAAGATTTTTCACTATATTTTAATATCGTGATAATAAAGTCGATAGTTTCACACAATAAATATTGGTATAAGTTCGAGATCGATGTGCGACATTAATTAAATTTACTGTCCTTAAACTTAACACCTTAGTTTATCCTATAGTCTCTTTGCTCTTGCTATTAATTAGATACAAAAAATCAATGTGAAATATCAACACTGTTGATTACTCACTACTATGAAACCCATACAAAAAGTAACTAGCGTAAACAGTATGTCGATAAAGGCGGTTACGTATACTGATACAAATGCTTAAGCAGCCATAGAACGGCAACTATATTCGGTTTTTCAAAAAAATGTATACAAGATACACAAATACCAGAAAACCATGAAATAACAGGCAAACGATATGCAAGAAACAGAACATTATTTTACAATGTCACATTTTACATTTCCGGATGCAAGAAATGCTGCAAACTATCTAAGCAATAATTTCATAAAATACGCGAAACTTATCTCCTTTGTATTACGCCTTATGATTTTTAACAAAGCGAATAGAATAGGAATCGATTTTGTAGGAATTATGATGTTGATGAATTCAACATGAGAGCTTGTCAAGAAGTCAATAGTCCCAAGAAATTAGTACAAGATTAAATTCACAGATGAACTGTTGATGAGCAACTATACATCGAGAGAACATGCGGAAATATCGAAACATATAATGGAAATAATTGACAAACAAGACCCAAAAAACGAATTGCGATGAGTTAAGTTGAAAGATTAGAAGTGTGATGGCAGATGGACAAAATCCCAGTTAATTAAGCCAGTTTTTAATCATACTCGTTACTTTCTGCTTATCGCCAAGACCACCAACATACCTCATACTATAATAATAGGAATCGCTAACTGATATTTTTCCGGCTTTCTAGGATTCAATATAAGAGTTAGACATCTGCTAATCACACGTAACGAGAACGCTTATGTTTGCTAATACACTTGAAAGAAATTAGCGATTCAAAATGCTTCGACTAAAAGCTTGTCACTACTTTACTATATGACAATGTAAATACATCTAAATTTCCTGCACATATCGAACATAAATCATAATATTTTGGTCATGGTGGAACTTCAAGTAGGCTGAATAAGTTCATCTTTGGTTTATATGTCCATAAAGACAATGAAATACAATTGTATTGATCACTACAGGATGATATTCACCACATGTACATGAAATTATGTAATTATATACAATTACTGAATATAGATTATGCACATATCTGTCATGCTAAAGAATAAATAAGTGAAGTGTTTTTAGTTCTAGGTGCTCTGTAAACTGAATACAATGAAGATAAAATCAGAAAAAAACTAACAAGTTTCAAGAAATTATTAGTATAAAATGTATCATCTGAATGCTAGAAAAACTTTCATTACATAAACAGATATCTTTTTTCATTCATTCAGCAAGAAACTAATACATAAAGACGGAGGGAAACTGTCTAAAATGATTAAAATCGAACAAGGTGAAAAACTCTAGAATATTTGGCAATTTTTTACGCAATAAACAAAATTCCTAATGATTTCGATTAGCTAAAAGTTGGCTTAGGTGTTAGGAAAAAACGCACATGTTAATAGTGACTTGAGGTAATTAAAGTGATCTAATATGGAAGACAAAATTTTAAAATGTAAATAGTAAAGCAGTAAACTAAACACCTACGGAAGTGATACTGAAATTACATATGCTTCTGCACATTCCCACTTCAGCAAAGATAGTATCACATTTGTATACACATATATGCTGAAACACGAATATTAAATGCAACACATACAGCTCAATTGTACTGCAGACATCAGTTGAAATAAATTCAAATATATAATTGTTAATGAGATTTTATTGTCCTACTGAATATTTTTAACCTAATTTATGCTGGATCAAACAGTCATTATAGTTAATGGTATGCAAAAGACAAAAGAATATTACATAATCCATGGTTGAGTATGATAAATGCAATCAAGTATACTGATGATTAAACGGCCATAATACAACGCAGAATACTGCACAAAAATATGTTGTTCAATATATCAAGGTTGAAATTTTATTATATCAGTCCATAAGAAGAAATCTGTATCATGTTTAGATGAGAGTATGTTGTAATATTCTTATCTGAGGATTTTATTAAATATATGTATTTAAAAATATACAAATCTCAACTGATCAATAGAATGTGACCATTTTATATATTTTCAAAAATCTTACTTCCGCATTATTTATTTAAATCTGCATCAAGCAGATGAGAAATCAACGTCGTCAGTTATACAGTAAAATGTATGAAGAGCCTTTCACATTTATTTCTGTGTAAGATTGTTAAGGGGAATGTTTTTATTTGTGTATATTTTTAAATGCACTAACAAAGTATGCACAATCAGAGATAGGCAAAGAAAACGCACAAACAAAAAATACCTGCAAATTATATACGGTAACTGACAAAGTACACTGATCACGAAAATAATGGTATGTTGCAATCAACAAAACCAATAGGAATAGTCAAACCAGACATAAAACCGACAATTAACTATTCAGGATATATGTTTACTGCGAAAACATAATAAATTGACCCACTTATAAGTCCTAAATGCGAAAATGGCATGCAAATAAACATTAAAATAACGGTGTCAGGGACACATAAACATATAGTCAGTTAAACAGAAAACAGTTAGCATCAAAATTGTATTAGAATTTTTTTAAAATGCCATCTCCATATTCATGAGTGTCAGTTAGCAATAGTTAAAGCCAATAGGCAAGCGACAAGTAATAGACACACCAATTTTAATAAATGACAATGATGCATATATAGATATAGATATATATGAAGACTAATTAAACAGAAAAGGGAAGAATGACAATATGAATAAATTGAAATAATAAATTGACGTTGAAGATTGATGTGTGGTTCAGCTTCAATATGCGATTATGTAATTTAGTTGAATGCAAAGTGCGACTGCGTTGATTGTTGTACCACAGGAATCACCATGTGAAGAATATGATAATAAATTTTGATGACAAATGCTGTGTTCGTTTGTTATGTTGAACGGATAGTCTGATGGGGGAAACAATGAACAATTAGAGCATGGATATTTTTAACTTGTATAGTTTGCTATGATATTTGGCCATGAATTTATAATAAATGTTTTGAGAATTATGTATATCAAATGTCAAATTAAAATATTGTTATTACAATGTAATATGAACACCTTCATGTAACATATTAGCAATATGCTTACTGACATAACACTCCACATAACCCGAAAACTATCTCAAACCATATTCCACGAGTAAACAGAATAGTCAGAAAAACCCGGTAAAAAATATGACCAAGTAGAACTCTACAGAAACCGAAAGATGCAATTTATGTTTCAAAAAACTAGTAGCAAAGGATTACGAAAATAATGAAGTTAATAGAAGGCAAATAAATAAAGTGCAAGGAAAACAAGAGAATGATTGATTCTTGGTTCAATCAAAAAATAAGAACTAATCAAATAAATTCGGTCGAACGATATTATTGTTTTTAAAGATGAACTACGAATAAAATTTAAACAACAATCTCATTGAAACCTAGCTAACTAAACTACACATTGGAGATAATGTGAATTCTGCTGTCACAAAAGTTTTATTGAAGAAACTTCAAATATTCAGAAATCCTATGTTGTTATATTCAATCGAATTAAAAACAAAAATAAACTGTATAACGACACATAGGTGAAAGCTAATCAAAGAATGTTACTTATATAGGATAACATGAACAGTTCACTTCTGTTTAGCTAAAAGAAAATAATTTAAACTATTACTACGAAATAACTGTGAACAAAAATTCACTGAGAAGTTCATTTTAACTAAAACCCACGAACTGTTACGTCATAATACAAGAATTCATAAAAATCGGCTAACCTGACTCGACAATCCATTAAATCAATTAGTATCTGACTGTGAAAAATTGACTCGATTACAAATTTTTAATTTAGTAGATAAGATGAATAAACATATGTAATCACTTGATATTTATTAGAAAACGTTGTGACCCTAACGCATAATTTTTTTATGCGAATTTAGCATAAATGTATTCATATGCATTGGCGAAATCCGTTATTTGTATTTAACATTTATACAGGAAATGGAGTTTTTAATTAGTAGAAGTAATGTACAGAACGTGTGTCGTGTACTGTATGGATTAAAAAGGTCAGTATCAATAAAGAAATTGTGAAACTCAAAAGATATTCATTCATGAACAAAAGTTGTTAGGCATACAGATGAACAGAAGTGCTATTCGATGACATTTTTGAGTCGAACAATGTACACATATTCATGAACGCAAATAAATATGTAGAAAATGGCCAATAGTCCAGAGACAAGATGCATCGATGAGTAAATAGCACAAAGCAAACTCTTCTATAAACAATACGGCCTAATTATAAGAGATATTTACCAAACACGATAACGTGGTGACACGAATGAACAAAGTGACCAACTGAATAATGAAACAGTTTTAATAAATACAACGCAGAAAGTCGTGTCAAAAAACCACTTCGGGTTGTCACTTTTCGCAACAAAACAAAAAGAGGATAAATTGTGTCTTGCTATCGAGGAACATGATTTCCCACTCCCTGAAACAATCGAGTTGTTCGAAACTAAATGATCATGAAACCACTTTGGCACATGTTTCATCATCCTTGATTGGTGCTGTCCGATTGCTCTTCTGCATGTATGAATTTACACACATGCCATTCGAAAATACAATAAGATTCAACGGATCTGAAATATAGACACGATTGAAGAGGATATGAAATGGATGGCTGAAAAAATGACATCAAACAGATGTTCTTCAAAGTTTATAAAGAAGAATCAAACAGCATGATTTTGAGGCAGAGACTGAAAGCGACCATCGAAAAAAAGATACTGTGTTGCAAAATTGATTATAAATGAGTAGACTAATCAAATGATTTCAGATAGGCCCCAACACAGTTTAAACAACATTACACCCCACTCAATAACCAATGAACATGTGTGTGAACACATACATAGAAAGGAATAATCAATGATGAAATTGTTTCATGATCAATTAGTGTCCCAAACCTCGATAAACGCAGGAGTAAAATCATGCTCCCCGTAGCAAAACAATTAAAACAGGTTATAAGATTGACATTAAAACAGCTTTTAAATCTATGTGTAGGAATTATCAAGGGTGCATTGCTGAACAGATGGAAGTATTGAGTATTAAAAAGTGCGAACCTCGTTTACGTGTGCAAAAACATTTTTTAAACCTGGATTATTTCTTGGCAACTGTTATCACATTGTAAAAACCTAGGGTAGCGTGACAACTTATATATTTCGTATTACACTTTTTCCCCTGTAATTCCAGTTATCCTCTTATATTTATTGAGCATTTATTTAGCAGAAAAACGAATGTTTCGCTCGCACATTCATCAAAAGATAGTTAATTATAAAGAAAAATCAAAACTTTTGAAGTGCCAATATTGTTGTATGGAAAAGCTATAGATTAGGACAGACGTACCATTTCAAGGCCAGTCGATAAGGGAGAAATGTTCACTGGTTCACGCTTTTAGTAGAGAATCTGAATTGATTTTCAAGGAGACATATCTACATGAATGAATGAGTTTGTGCATGTACTTCATGTGGGTAAGGCAATAAAAGCTTTTGATTCGCACGAAAGTAGCTGTTTAAACCAGCTTACATTAGGCATTTAAATCGGTGTCAGACTAGAAAGAACACCAAGTACAACAAAGAATAATAAGTTTGAAGGAACTTACTTACTTACTGAAAGACTACAAAAGGGCTAAAATCTAACAGTAAGTCAAACAACGTAGGACCAGGCACATATATGCATCGGTCCAAGTTGCCACACCTCATTAATACAAGATGAATATCAGATCCATAGAAGTAGTTACTTCAATGATAGTAATATATAAAAAGAAAGATTGCGTAGGATATAATACAGGAAGAAAGAATTAGTCGGTAGAAAGAAAGGTATGAAGTAATTTTAATCTCACGGTTTAAGGGAAGACAAAGAGTGTATACACCTACGTGAATTGTGGTCGATTCTGAGTTATTTCACCAAGACTCTACAACCATTGGTTACGATAATCACGCGGATTCCAACAAAATGATCTGCATCTACCAACATGACTAAGACTAGAAGTTAGTGACTTCAAACACTGATGCAACGTTTTGGTTTGAACACTCCTAAATTCCTTCCAACCACCTCAACACTAATCATCATTGCGCATCGTCGTAATTGATGTTCAGGTATACGTAACACGTCACTCAAACATCTCAGTCGATGTAGATTCATAACCTCATCAACTGATTTACCATCATTCCCTAATACCCTGAGTCTAACCCCACTATTACCTACCCGGTGATCCCAGCAGATGTGAGCAATATTTTTAAGACATCTGTGATCAAATACTAATAAATTGCGAATATCTTCTACTCTTAATGGCCACGTTTTGCAGCCATAAAGTAAAACAAAACGAACTGCTACACAGTACACCCGTCCGCTAATCGATAGACGGATATCTCGCCTTCGCCATAGGTGGTGACATAAGTTGGCAAATACCAAACGAGCTTTCTGAATCTGTGCAGAAATTTCGTCAGACACCAACCCATTAGGGTTGATCAGACTTCCGAGATACATGGAGTTGTCGACTACTTTACTCTCTATCTATATTTCAGGTGTTGACGCAGACCAGTTCTGAAGCAGCAATTTGCACTTAGAAAGGGAGAAATGCATTCCAAACATCCTGACATTGTTGCTCAATGCTACCAAAACACTGCATTTTATCAGCGTGTTCACCAAACAGAACTGTCATCTGCATATTCTAAGTCGATAAGTGGACCTTCGGGAAGGAGATCAATTCGTGAAAATTCAGTCGACGAGAACGTCATTTCCAGTAGCGTATATCTGTGATGAAATTAAACAGAAATGGAAATAGTGGACAACCTTGACGGACACCATTTTAGGTTGCAAAATTAGATGACAGTTCGCCATAAGCTGTGACTGAACTAGTAGTGTACGAGTAAAGAGCCTTCACAAGGTTTATGTACTCCTGAGGTACGCCTTTCAATGACAGACACTGCCACATAACCTTCTGGTGTACAAAGTCAAATGCTTCTTTTAAGTAAAAAAAACTATCATTGTCTACTGTGAAAATCAAGTAGACTTAATATACTATGTGTTCGATTGATAACTCTAATGCAATCCACGGACAAACAGTTTTCATGTCGCATCATCTATAAATTAACTTGGATGAGAAAATTATGATGGCAAGCAGCTTTGGGAGGAAGGTCTCAAAAAGAGGTAGGATTGTGTTTGAAGCTTCTTGAAACAAAATATCTGAAATTATTAGCAAAGAAACGTCAAGGAATACTTGAGACCTTGTGTAATTTATAGAGATCAGAAAAATGGATCGCTACAAAAGATACATGATCAAAATGCACATCCAAAAACAAATGCATTGTGTAAAAAGACGATGTGAAGGGTAATTTTCTAATTACAGTAGAAAATTAACTAAACAGTCAAACCAAAACATTTTAAATAAATAAAAGTATAATGAGCCGCGTTAGTAGATGTTACGACGGAAATAATAACATGATTTTAAGAGTATATTAGAACTGTATTATATTCGCAGGGAAAGCGGTGATATATATGACACAGCAAATAAAAAGAAATGGATAAAAAACCATTAACTTAAAAAATTCAAACAAGTACTAACTAACCTATCCATTAACTATTCATACTCGCTAGAGTCTACGGATGCTGCTGACTTTCCAATATTTGATGAGCCAATCTTCTTTGAACCTGAAAATGCTCGATCATTGACAGGAGAGCTTGAAAATGATAGTTTAAGAAGAAATGGATAACGACCTTCGGTGTTTGGAATAGCTTGGTGGTTGCACAAAGCAAGGGCAGTAACGGCTTCATCTTTTGTTCCCCATTCTACAAGGCCTGAAGAGGATCTATCACTAATCCTTGGGAAAGGTGCAATTTGGCTATATACAGTTTGGACAAAATAAGGAATTATCCGAAAAGAATAGAAGTTAAGAAATTGAATTAACTACAGATACATATTTTACTGACTGACATATATATTATATAAGAAGTATATGTTCGTCATAGGGAAATCAAACAAGATACAGTCCAGCGAAACAGTAAGTCAGTTCACTGAACTACCACCCAAAACCTTACAGAACGATAAGCACATATTATAAGTGAATGGGAAGCTATTTCAATAGTTTAACCTTTAACAGATATAGATAACACAAGGGATGAGATATCTATTGTCGTCGCGAAATAATACTTAAGCGCCTTATTATTTTAATGAATAACATACACAACCAAATACACTTTAATATCTTAAATAATTATCACACCGGTACCAATCAAGTTGATGATGATAGTGCCGAACCTAATCTTGCAAACATTACTTCCTACAAGAGTATCATAGCGAACAATTATGCTCCACAACTGAAGATACCCTTAGTTTACAATGACTATCGAATTTACTACCGACAAAACATTTTCACGCCCAGGCGGTGGTAAACGCAACATTCACGTGCAGTGAAATTTGCATGGCACAATTAATGGACGGAAAATATTATTATCAATGCTAAGTTTCGACTGCTTGAATTTCTCTGTGAAATTAAATAGGAGTGTGATGAGTATTGCCAACCGATTAGATTTTGTTGTCTTATTACCACTTATGACTATCATATTGAAAAATGTTAGTCATGCAATTAGATGACCATGAGATAAAAGTAAGAAGCAGTGGTATGGTGTTTACAAATATCGAAAACGAACATTGAGAAACAGTACTACATACCGAGGTGGTGAAGCACCACATTCAACAATCAACTTGCGCAGTTCCTCTGGGGTATAACTCGGAGGACAATTCCAGTAATGCAGAGTATGTGATGGCGGATAGATCCTATTCTTACTCGCCTTGTCTGGATTTATATATCTATTTTCACGACACCCTGAATAGTCTTTGAAAGATGGGGTACCATCTGGTAATTCAAAAGGTTTCGGTACGTCCAGGATAAGTTGTTGTTTGCTTGGACGAATCTAGAATTTAAAAGTAAATTGAGATCACTAAATGAGTTTTCCGCTACACAAAAAATCAAACCAAGTACATTCAACTGACTACAATAGCTATCCACAAAAGAAATCTGATAGATATCACTCCGTTTAGTTTTTATTTAAGTGTTCTGTAGAAATGTCCTAAAAAAGTTTCATATTTATAGGACCCTAAATGTAACTATCAACACGACAAAAAGTACACCTACATTTAATTCCATTTATAACACAAACTCCGAAAACGAAGCAGAAGGTCAAGTAATTCACAATGAGTAAATGATACAAAGGAAAATAAAAAGCGGGAAACCACATAATTAAGAAATAAATGAGAAAAAGTAGTATTCTATAGAGAAGCAGTCTGAATGGAAGTGTAAGCGTGATAGATCTTTACTTATATAATGGGAGCTTACTCATGTGAAAAGGTAAGAAACTGTAGCGGGATTGTTACAATGTCTTTATTCTGAACCATTTTTGATGACATCTTAAGCTATCGGGTTGCATGATATTTGAAGCCTTAACTAAATGGTTGTGATTAACTTGGACGCCAGTCTTACCTTACATTCCACATTCCATAAACTGAACTTTCTGTTCCTCCCAAGTTATAATTTCGGAAAATAATGTGCGATTTGAGAGCTCTTTAAAATGACACTAGTAAGACAAGCTTAAGCTAAAGAAGCCGATATGTTGATATACGGTAAACTGAAATATCATTTGTCAGCAAACTGTCAGACCTTGAGATTACTTGGATAGTGTCAGCATCGTATGTGAGCGATCCTTTGAGTGCAACAAGGACTAGATACGAAAAATCACCAAACATCATCAAACCAGAGTCCAAGTTTTACATCCACAGGGCAGAAGTGCATTTTTTTTTATACATATACCCTACCTAAAACAACTAGAATAACATTGCAACGGAGCCAAAGATGAACTAAGTCAACATAAGTTTCTGCTTTGACTATGCCTAGGTTGATTTCATCAGTCAAGCCAGGACCAGCACACGGCTATCAAGATAAATGAACTTGTCGCCTATCTGCAATGGACAAACATAAAGAGTAAAGATCCAGGCTCCTTTCAGTTTTACAAGCGTAGTTATTATTTCGAAGGTGTAAAGTATATATCGTATTATGGAATAATGATTAAGCACGGTTTAGACAGCCTACGTGAGATCAAAGAACATTCCTTACGACAATATATGTACATCTCTGTCATATACTGTTTTCACAATACCATCAACTATGAGACTGGATCACTGTTTAATTTCATCTGCAACGTAAACGTTTTCGATCAAGTAAAGAATAATTAACTTGTTGAATGATAACTGTGTCGGTGTATATTCCTCACTGCTGTTCTGAAATTGTTAGAATTGGATATTGAGTAGTATGTGTTTTCATTTGCATGATGAACAGACATCCTGTTAAATATGTATTACAGGGATGACGAGAGGAATAGAAGATTGACTGTGGAGACGAAATACTTCGAACCATATTCCTTTTGAATCGTGAAGGAGTATATCTTCGACCCCTGTTAATTGATTAGCCGTGTAAGTGTTACGAAGCGACTAATACTTAAGATCGCGGATGTCGGAGGAATGAAACTCAAATGAGATGAATATTAGTGTATTTTCGCGAGACTAGTTCTAAATTTAATTTTCTGACATATAGTGCAATCAAAATGCACATTGATTCTAGTTATCGAGAGCTAGTTAGGAGCAATGAACATATAACTCAGTTATATGTGTGAACATATAGATGAGTTGAGCGTCAGTTATCAATAGGTTAGATGGAGCGTCACATATGCCTAACTGACCAAAATTGATCATAAGGAGAACAGTATTTAAGTGCGTTGACCTGTCTACCTCTCTTAAAAGCCTCACCAACCCTAGTGAGTTGGTACCTGACGAAATCTCGGCACAGATTCGAAACCTGGCCTAGATTTGTCAACTCGCGTTAACATTAGCGTCTATTTGGAAGACTGTTTACGTACTGTGAAACAAAAGAGCAAGTATTATAAGAAGAACACCAGGCAAAAATAAAGAATCAGTTGATGGGACTGTAGATCCTAATATTACTAAAGCCAAACCCCACTAGCCAACCCGTGTGATGTTGTTTGGTATGAGAGTAAGTTATAAAACTAAAGGCGATTAAGTCAAGATAATAAACCAATCCATGAAATCAATGAATACTGAAACGGGTCATGCTACTTGGTGTAGACTGCCCAATTGGGGTCAGTGCGATAGAAGTGATCAATTGTCGGACAGTGAGAACGATGGCTCATAATCGGTAACAGTAGCGTAGATCCTGAATTTAAAAAACTACTTTCTACTTTGCCTCAGGCAAATTAAATCTTTTTTTGGAAGTTTATCAGTGGTCAATTGTTTTTACTATCATTGATAATAATCACTGCTGTGTGATATAATAACGACTTGAGTCGATGCACATATGTGAAGGATTCATTTGGTCAAACTGACTGAATATATGATAACAATATGGTGACAGCACGTAGGACTAACTAAAGTTAAGACGTTATTAGTCACTAGTATTTAAAAACTAGTGACCTATCAGCAAAACAACAACAAAATGAATTTAAGAAAGAAAGAACCATACCGACAATGCATTTCCCATCAATGGGACTTCTGACAGGTTAGTAATGACACGATCAACACTAACGTTATCGCCCATTTGCGCCATAGCTGAACCTTCTTTAGTCCTCAAAAACTTAATACGAACAACATTACCATAGAGACAGAGAAGGTTGAACAAGCTAAAACAAAGCGAAAGCGTGATAATTAAAAACTCAATAGAATTGACCAATTACCAAAAGTTGGAAGTATTAATAGTTTTAGCAAATTTGGTCTAGTGGAAAACAAATAGTCCATCCTACAATTTAAAACCCATTCACAGTAAATTACAAGAAAATTGACGAGACAATTTCCAGTGGAACTATAGTAAGCACTACTTTAAACAGCTAGTCACGGAGAGTCCACCTAGGGTAGTTGGAAAACCCTGATTCCAAACTAATGGTGCACATGGGCTCCAGTATCCTGCGGAAACAAATGGCGTATGAGCCAATTGTTGGTCACCGGCTACCATGAGACTGAATTTCCTTAAGTTGCTCCACTGCCTTGTGAGTCGGACCTTTAGGTCAAATGCTCCGGGTGTGGCCCCCTAAGAAAACCACCTGCTTCGGTTTGGGCACCCGGGCAGAATCACAGCACCCACACAAATCAAATGAGATTCCCTATATATGGTACAATTTTTCACGTCAATAAAACGCAGAATTGAAAGTCTGTGTTTGAGATATTTCAGGGATTCATGTGAGCAGATGAAATGGGGACCAATCAACTCAATTTTGTGCATCAGTCAATACAGTCCAAATAGATAATGGTAAGCTGGTAGATATACAACGAAGAGTAAGAAACCCGCTAGGACAGAACATCTAGGTACAAGTGTATAATTAATAAGTACATGAATAAAAGGACTCACAAGTCTGGTTTTACTGTTAAAATAGACCGGTGAGTAACCCAAGTCGATACACACGTAAGGTCTTTACCAGGGCCTAAAACAACACGACAGATCGGGTTTATGTAAAATATTTGTGTAACTAACAGCTACAGTCTTAATACTACCTAATATCATACATTTCCTAAATAATAGTGCGCCTACCAGATAAAATAGTTAATCCCTACCCAAATGGTTAGAAAGTTGTATATCCACTAGTCATACCCGAGTAAACCAATAAAGAAATAAGTTCGAATTATGAGTATGGAAAGCCACGTTGACTGAGCAAGACCAAACTGATTATCAGGGTTTTTAAGCTTGATAAAGTCTTGAGAATGAAACTTACCGATCGCAGTTCATATGATCCATATCCATGTTATATACCATTATGACAGCAGTTGCAGCCCTAGCATAAGGTTGACCATTCAATCCATCGAGACCACGCCTCGATACATGGTAATTTAAAGCCAACTGGTCCAAGAACGAAGCAGGTGGGACACTAAGCCCGACAGCATTTTGCTTTATGAAACCATCATGATAGCCAAAGTTGCCACCATTAACAGACCTTGAGCTTTCGTGTCGAGCACGTGAACGTTCAAAACGTCCTAAGACAATAGTAAGCGAAGACTCTTCTTACCTAATAAAGAAATATCTCCACGCCCATCAGCTTCATTAAGTGAGGTAGACAGTAATAGTGGATTTTCAAAATCCCATGAATCTTGATCATTACGAGTGACAGTCAAGCGTGTAGGACGAGCAAACTCGACTTTCAATGTACAGCAGCCAGAATATATGTCGGCCCCATTAAGATGCCGCTTAGCAGTCCGGGCCTCTTCCGTATTTTTGAACTCCACCATAGCCTTTGAACAAATAAAATGTCAAACTACAAGTACCTGTATCCGGGTTTTACGGAGAATGACAATGCGTAAAACGCGTCCATGTTTGGCTGTAATTTGATGAATGACATCGACGGTGATAGGATATTGAGCATTGTAGACCGTTAACATAAGTACACGGCTTTCGGGAGGCAATTCGGAGTGCTGGTTATCATTTTCTAGAGGTCGATGGACCACACGTTTGGATGTACTATAATTAACTTTCAATCGGTGGTTAGCAAACATCACGGCATTCTCTGAACATCTTATACTTATTTAGTTTGTATGTTACTGAAGATTACCTTGCAACAGCTCTTTCTGCTGAGTTAATATCATCAAATTCAATTAGTGCTTGACCTTTATGTGGAATCATTGCAATATCCCTAATAGAGCCAAACTGTTCAAAAACTCTAATTAAGTCCAGCTCGAGAGTATGTTCTGGCAACTCCCGTATATGAATAACTGGAGATGGCTCCAAATCCTCCCAATCTTCTGGTCTGTTCCTTTTACGATTCGCCATCAATTGTCGAGTTTGAAATCCGCGCATCAACTACTAATTCGAAATAACAAAAGTACCATGGCTTTAGATAAACCTGAATAATACTTGAAAGTGATGAAATGCTAAAGGCTTTTTCGAATGTTTAGCGGTTGAAAGATGTAATAATTTTTCAACTATCAGAGATTTATGTTTACCGGCATTGGGTGTCGGGATGTCTTTGTTTCGCAATAACAGAAAACCAGGAATTGGGGGTGTAGTAGCCTTATGCCTACATTCTTGCCTGGAAGTACATCAAGTGTACAATCAACATTTAATCGTTCTTGGTGAAACATGTATGGTGTTCAGTAAGCCTGTCTACCACCTCGAGATGTCTAGTTTTAGTCATCTACACGAAGCCAATTGCTGACATCGAGTACGACAATCCCATGTGGGAAGGGTTATCCTGCTCTGCTCATATCCTGATTCTAGGGGACTTCAATCTTCCTGAAGTCACTTTCTCAGTACATACGTGGAAATATACTGAAGCTTGGTTCATCAACTTCATTGATGATCGGGGATTATTCAAGAATGTGAAGTCGGCAACTGCAAAGCAGTCAATCCTCAGACGGTCCCCAAAAGCTACAAGCAACCTACAGTCACCAGGAACCTCACTCTTTGTTTACTATGTTGCAAAAGACATTGCTGGGCAAAGTAAAAACGAACTGATAACAACCGTGCGTACAGACAATTTAAATGTATAAGGAACATATGCACAAAGTCAATATGAGAAGACAGGCTTTAGTACCAGATAAAGCTATGGATAAATTAGTCTCCTATCGGAGAAGCCTATTCCGTTATACAGTCTCTCTTCAAGAAGAAAAAAATGAAGCATCTCAACTACTAGGTCGTAATGGGCTGACTAAGAATAACAGTGATGCCGCTAAACTTCAGGCTGAATATTACTCTCGGACATTTCAACCGACCCTTATTATCTACATTGATGGAAGCTTCATCTGCAACTGAACAGGACTTTCTGATGTGAACCTGAAAGCTGACTTGGTGTTCCGGAAACTGCAGTATCTAAGAAAAGACACTTCTCCTGGCCCGGACATGGTTTATTCTGCTATATTGAGGGATGCAGCTTCAATCCTGGCAACACCGCTTAGCGTGACATTCTCATACTCGCTAAGCCGAGGTATATTACCGGAAATTTGGAGCTGGCTCAAATCACACCGATTTTCAAGCTACCGACAGGTTGCTCTCCTCTCTATACCTCTCTATGAAGTCCCTGATTTACAACGGTATACATGACCATTTCTTATTCTTAAACTATTTTTCATCCCAATAGCATGGTTTCAGTAAGGGTAGCTTTTGTATAACCAACGTGCTGACTGCGGTGGGCAGATGAACAACCATCCTCGATTGACGTCATATACCTCAAATTCTCAAAAGTATTTGATAGGGTCAGCCATATGTGTCTTATCAATCAACTCAAACAACTGGGTATCAAATCATCTCTAATTGATTGGTTCAATTCATATCTTAAAAATCAACATTTTAAGGTCAGGGTTAACTTCACTTTATCTCAGGCTATGGAATGTTCTAGTGGAGTCCCCCAGGTTTCAGCACTAGGATCTCTTTTTTTCCTGATTTATATAAACGGTTTTCCACAACAGGTATCGTCAGACTTATTACTTTTTGCTGGTGACGTGAAACTTTGGAAAGAGAGATATGCAACCAAGACGATATACAGACACTTCAGGAGGATCTGACTTGACTTCGAAGTTGGACAGACGATAACGGAATTACATTTAAGTAGTCCATCTCCGACACGTTGCAGATTACATTTACAACTTAGGGTAGTCCTCTCTAAAAGTATCCTAAGTTGAAAAATATTTTGAGTACTGGTACCCTACAATTTGAAGTCTTACGTTAACTGTAACAAAAATGCCTTCGAGCAAATCTTGCACTGGTAACATTGGAGAGCATTTTTGCCAGTTTGATGGAAGAACTTTCCATATATTATTCAACAATTTTATTCGTCCCCAACGGAGTTCGAAAACATAGTATTTTCTCTCACTCCAAAAGGATAAGGACACTGGAGCGTATCCAATGGCGAACCACGAAATCAATTGGGAGAATCAATTAAAACTTTTACCCATAAGAGTACAGGCGTCTTAGTAGTGACATCCTAATGGCTTACGACATCCTTAACACTCCGGCATATCACCTTAAACACACATTTAAGTTTAGCTCCAACACAAATCTAAGAGGCAACACCTAGAAACTGGAGACACAACACAGCACAACGAATTGTGGACACCACTTCTACTCATTAAGAGTTGTCAAAATATGTAATTCGCTGCCGTTTGAGCCAGTCCAAGCGATTTTGATGGAGTCCTTTAGGAGAAAACTTGACCTATTCTTAAGGAATAAAGTTAGTATCACATCAGAACTTAACAATTTTTTCTTCTTTTATGGTTAGTATATCTAGTTTCCTGCCTAGAGATATTAGTGATCCATTATTAAAAAACAAAACCCGTTAGGCGAAAGCCACTTCTATTCCTTCCTCAACCATTTGAACCATTCAATCTCCATGCTATATATATTTTATTCATTACAAATAAACAAATCAAAACAACAATTTGGAACTTCTCGAATCAGTACTACATCTTTGTACATTAACTATGAATCTTTTTATGATCTCTTAACCAACATACCATGCACAGATAAACTGTATGTAGGCGTATGCGACGTCTTGTTCAACCATCTCATCATTTTATAGGTGTTCAATCAGTTTATTTACTACAGAAACTTTAAACCTTACACTTCATTCGTTTTTCATCACTCCTTCCTCAATGTTTTTTGTTCAGGCGGTAGGATTCTTAATGTTAGAGTATAATAAATAAGTAGTCATTTATATTTCTTCGACTATTTTTTCATCTGACTACATCATATCGAATTGGTTCACAACGTCTTGGGATAATAGTGTAGTTTTTTTCTCGCTTCAAATAGTTTCTGGACAAAAAGTACGTAGAATTAGAAAATGAATATGCTGCGAGAGAAAAGCTTCCAAAGCCTTCAAATTGGTACGTTCCTAATATATACCTTTATGAATTAGCTATTTACATCTAGTGGGAATCATATCATTATCTACCTATATTTTCAATATCAGAAGACTAATTAACTTAGTTACTTCTGATATGGTACATGATACACAACATTCAGATTTGTAGTCTTACATGTCAAACAGGCACTAATCTTCTAAATATCTCTCCTATTTACATATAAGTCAAAGGAAAAAAGGTTTCTCTTTTTAGTTAGTTCCTGGTCATAGCTCTTCACAAGTCTATTGGTTTACGGTTAAGTATAAAATCCATATCAAATAAATGATGGAAATTCATACCATCTGAATATGAATGAATAATGCTACTTGTAAAATTGATAATGGATAAGTAATAAAGCTTGTGCCAATAATTAGATAATCAGCTTATAAAGGCAAGTTACGTAAGAATAAAGCCAGGAAATAAAATTGAATCGGCAGTGAAAAGATTAAAAATCTTTCTTGAGAAATGTAGAAGTGACTAAGTGGAAGGCTAAGGTAGATTAAGGAGCCATAAAAGCGTCTCCTGCATGCAGAAGATCAGGTTTGTTCATGTGTATTTCTATGGCTTCCGTTGTATGTAGGAGTTTTAGTTTTGAGTTCAGTAGAACTCTGTTGATAACTTCAAAAGTTGAAATACTAACATAACTTAGTAGATTATGGCTTCTTATTGTTTTCTATTATCCTTTGATCCACCAATATGGGTGATCAGAAATACGATAATGGATTCATCTGGCTGTACGACCTATATCACATTAAAAAAAACACAACAGAATTAAGCATATATAAAAACCGATCTAGTTATTTGCTCGTTACTAATTTTACGAGTAACACGATAGATTCATACTCAGTTGGTAAATTTTAAGCTTACTCATTTTCTATTCTTAGGTAATTTGTTGTAATGATTAGCCAATTATGTGGTATCACAAACTTTATGTCGAGTCTGTTGATCAATCAACTAATGACGTTGCTAAAAAAGCTCAGTAGATTTAATAATAATAATAATAATAATAATAATAATAATTTGTTCTCAAATAACAGTTTGTTACATGAGGCATGCCAGTTTACAGGCAAGATCAAATTGATACAAATGATACAATATTCACTGCAGTAAATTACATAACTGGGTTGATAATTTATAAGATATGAATGTCGATGGTTTGAATCAGTACCACAGTTGGCGCGCTTCATGAAAGTTGCGTCGCGAATGTGCGACTGATGGTCAAGGATAGGTCCATTGAAGGTATGAGCTTTTAGAAATCGCAACCTTATTTCCTTCTGGGATATCCAAGGCTTTAAGGATGGTGCAGGATGAAGTCACCAGTTCCATATCTCAAGGGGTCTGAAAGAGGGAGCAAGTAAAACAAAACACGAGAGGCAGAGTAGCCAATATTCATGAAGGAATGTTTAAGGTATGATTACTCAGTCTAATTTTCCTTTATTAAGGTATATGTTAAGAAAGAGCATTTTAATAGGTTAAAGAAAATAAGTGTTGACAAGGTGTGAGTGGACATACAACTGACAAATGGGGGCGATTCGGAAAAGAGCAGAGAGTATAAGGTTATGTGTGATTATAAAATAAAATAAAGTGCTAGAAATAGTATTGTGATATACATTTGGCTGTCTTCCCTTTAATATCGAAGCTATTAGAGCCCCTTTCGTTTTTTAAAATATTTTTCCCCAGTTATTATAGGGTCTTGATTAGGCTTCGTATATTAGCGAATTGTCTAGTTTGCTTGTAATAGGATTTCTGGGTAGGAAGTGAAACCAATCCAACGTTCGTAACACGACTTAAAGAGGTATTTTGCGTGAATAGATCAGCTTCAACACCATAAGTTCGTGGCATCCCACTATGGCATCCCACCCTATGATTCTTAATTTTCTTCATGAGTGCAAGCAGTTTTCATTAATTAACACCACTGAGCTTAAAATGCTGACTTGTAACTGCTACTGAATTAAAGGATGGCTGATTATGTTGACCACT